AAAATAACTACTGTTGATACCATTTCCTCCAACGATTTCGCAAAGAATTGCCCATACCATATAATTAGAATAAACTCTTTCAATCAATGTTTAAATTTTTATATTGTCATTTATTCTTTCGTTTTTGTTTCTGTACTAATTTTCGTGTCAGATACAATAATTTAGTTTTTAAGTAAATTTTCATTTTCGTAGCTATACACAAACATGCCTACCTGTTGCATTAAAAATTGCATTAATAATAAATAGAAATGAGAAAATTTCTGATGCATCTTTTCACAGGTTTATTTTCAAATTAACTTCACACTAAAATAAATGTAACAATATCCCTACACTCGTTGAATAGAACTATTTTGTTTTACAATTACATATATTTTATTTTATAGACTATTATAATTTATAATGCTATCATGGATTACCATTTTATTATTAAAAACAATACTTAAGAAATGCACAAGTTTCTGTAACAGTTTATAAAATTTCAGATTTCCTCAAAATGTAAAAATGCAAAACGATTGGATTAAGTGCATCAGACAGGAAATAAATGATTTCAAATGGCTTCCATCAAAAAATGCAAGAATATGCAGTGACCATTTCTGTAATAAAGATTATAAGGGTTATGATGGAGAAAGGAAGGTAATGCTGAAGAAAGCATTCCCATGTTTTCAAGTTAGTTATATTTATATGTCATCAGTTACACAAGGAAGCAATTCACATCATCATTGTACATTGCAACATTATCTATACAAAAAATATAAAATGCATTCACCAATATTCCATGTATTTTATTAAAACTTAGAAAGGGCATAATGACATTGTGAATAATAAACCCTGTTTAGGACTGGGATCATCATCATCATACCAATCACCCTTACAAGTAGAGTCAATTTTATATTAATGCTTAACAAGTTAACTAAATTGGTATAATCAAGTTTTTATATGAAATACACATCAAGTATTTAATGTAACAAATAAATTAACAGAAAAATTTCTGGAAAAGTTTAAAAAAATTAGAACATATGACTCTGATCAAAAATCATT